ACGTTGCAGCCCAGCCCACCCCACACCTTATTCAGGATGCACATTCGGGTGCTGCTGCCCTGACCAGTCCAAACTATTGGGGGTTCCTTTACCTGTAACTGATAGCAGGCTCCTTGGTCACACCTAGCTTAGTCCAGCACCACCACAACTCTTGAGATAACCAGTGGGGCTAGAATTTTCACAGGATGTGGCCCACATATTCCTCACAGATAGTTTTTGAGTGCTAGTTAATGTAATGGCTTGCTTAATGTGACCCTTCTCCTGATCCATCATCATATCAGGTAACATGACATAATTCTGCAGGACAAGCCCCGAGCCATAGTTTCAGCATGGACTGGTATTTGGTGGTCAGCATTGTTCAGTGATTACAAGTTTTACAAAGGAAGAGTTACTGCCAATGGGAATCTTTACGAATGCTTCACGTCCTAGAAGCACAGTGGGTTCAATTTGGATCTACCTAAACAGCGATTCAAAGAACGAAAACCCTAGAGCTTCCTGGCCGTGCGGCCAGCAGGAGCCTGGAACCAAATGGTGCACTGGCCGCCCGGGTACAGCTTACCACGTGCACATGGTGGCTGTTGTCTGGGATCCAAGCATGAGACGCCCTGTCCTGAGACCCACCAGTAGCCGGGAGGCTGCTGGAAGTTTAAACTCCCAGGCCCAAGATTACGCCCCTCCCCAATCCCACTCACCGCCCAATGAAGGTGGCAGGTAGTCCCGGACCTGCCCAGTCACGGAGACCTCCCCCCTCGGTGTTCTCACCCCGAAGGGAGCATCCCCTGGAGCCCAGGCAGGCCTGGGGACAGCTCACCACGTGCACATGGTGGCTGTCGTCTGGGATCCAGGCATGAGATGCTCCATCCTGAGACCCACCCAAAGAGCTTCAATGCCATCATAAGGGAGAAGGAACAAATGACATTTGGTTTCTTCTGATCTAAATCTTTCCTATGGATGTTAGTTTCTTCCTGGGAAAACAGTTTCTCCCAGGATATAGTCTAACTGAATGGAAATTAAAGTAACAGGCTCTGTACACAAAGAGTGAATCAGGCAGCTGGACTGTATGACCCCAGATTTATTAATGATGTGTTCTCTTCATACACTTTAAACCTTACATAAATGATTCAGGGAGAGTAAGTATCATTGGAAGTTCATCATAATTACAAAGATAGACCTTCAGGATTCCCCTTTCTGAAACCATAGCTCCCGTTTCCTAACTTCTAGGACTAATCTTGGCCTTATGGAATTTTTGAGATTCTTTGTGTCCTCTGATCTTCTGACTACAAAATCATCATTTTTGCCTTTATAAGCCAGAGAAGACTTTTGTTGCTTATGAACAAAAAGATAAACTGATTTGTGGGCTGACATTGTGGCATAGTCGGTTAAATTGCTGCCTGGAATACTAGCATCCCATGTCGGCACTGGTTCAAGTCTTGGCTGTTCCATGTGTGATTCAGCTCCCTGTTGATATTCAGAGAAAAACAGCAGAAGATGCCCCTAGTGTTTGGGCCGCTGCACCCACATGGGAGACCTAGAAGAAATTCCTGGCTTCTAGAGTCAGCCTGGTCCAGCCTCAAGTTTTGCAGCCTTTTAGGGAATAGTCCAGAGAATAGAAGATATCTCTCCATTGCCATTGTCACTGCCTCTAACTTCATTATTTCATACCTTCAATTATTCAAATTAACATCGTGATCCTCTGGTCCCTGATGTTTCCACTGTAATTGCAGTGACATTTCAAAATGCAAAGCTGGTCATAATATATCCAAATACACACCTTCTATAAACGCTCACCTCCATTAAGATCAAGTCCAAATCAGTTATTTTAAATCTGTCTATATTTCCAGATTCATTTCTCATCATCTTCTCTGAAATCCCCTAAAACTTTATACTGGAATCAGTTGGATATTTATAAATGACATTCCATCTTTCCTTGGTGTAGGCCCCAGTCTCCCAAGAGTTAACTCCACAGCTTAGCTTGTTTCTCAAGGTGTAACAGGATGGGCAATCCTGGCCTGATACATTTAGCCCCTGACTTGACTGAAAGTTCCCTCTTCCCTGCTTCCCCTTTTTAACATGCCCTCAGGGGAGCTTAGGTGTAGCTTGAGCATTGGGAAAATACTAGGAAGAGCCAAGCAGACTATAACAGATGTTGATTGACCTTGAATAAATGGCATTCTCTTCACAAGAATGACCCACTGTGTTGTCTGTTTTGAAACCCTAGTCCCTCCCCTGGGCTCGGGGTGTGTGTTGACTAGGGTGTTGGGGTCACCTTGGTCAATGCATTCACTTTCATCTGTGAAGGAAACAGTGACTGCCCAACATCAGCCATCCCCTCCCTTTCAGAAGCCCTAACTAACTAAAAGGCTCATAAACAATGCTATTCCTGGGCCCGGCGCAGTGGCGCAAGTGGTTAAGGTCCTCTCCTTGCACACCCCGGGATCCCATATGGGCGCCGGTTCTATCCCGGCAGCCCCGCTTCCCTTCCAGCTCCCTGCCTGTGGCCCGAGAAAGCAGTCCAAGAGGGCCCAAAGCTTTGGGACCCTGCACCCGTGTGGGAGACCCAGAAGAGGCTCCTGGCTTCGGACTGGCATAGTATCGGCCCGTTGCGCTCACTTGGGGAGTGAATCATCAGACGGAAGATCTTCCTCTCTGTCTCTCCTCTCTGTATATCTGCCTTTCCAATAAAACATAATAAAAATAAATCTTTAAAAAAAAACAATGCTATTCCTTAGTACAATGAACCGACCAGTGTCTTACATGCTAACATATTGAACTACTAATTATTATACTTTTGTTTTCCTCATTACATGCTATCACTTTCAAGAAAAAATAAAATGTCTTATCTCTAATCCCAACTCTTTGCCCTATGCCTGGTTTATATGTGTATTATACAAATGCTTCATAAATACTGGAAAAAGACATTTGGTTACCACTATTTCTCTCTATCCTAGAAGCATATGCCTGGAATGTAGCAGCTACAAAAATAATGATCAGTGAAAAAAAAAGAAGAAAGATAAATAAACACACTAAATTAAATTATGGTGGAAGCGAATTTGTAAATAAATGAAATCAAAGGACATTTAAAAGCTGCTCCATAAGTTTCAAATGATTTGTCCCCTGGCTATCCCTTTAGAAGATAAAAAATATATATATATTTATTTTTACTTGGAAAACAGATCAGATTTATGCAGAAAAAGAAAGATAAAAAGACCGTTCATCTGCTGGATCACTCCCCATATGGCCACAACAGCCAGAGCTGAGCACATGTGAAGCCAGGAGCCAGGGTCTCAGAGTTTTTCATGTGAGCGCTGGGTCCTCAGGCCCTGGGCTATCCTCTATTGTTTTCCCAGGCCAAAATCAGGGAACTGGAGCAGCCAGTAAAACACACTGGCAGGCACACAGGATTCCACCACTTTACACAGTGAGGATTTAGCCACTGAGCCATCATGACCAGCCCTGGCTATCCCTCTAGTTTCATTTATTATTGCCCTTCCCTTTGATGAATCCATTCTTGCTATCCTGGCCCTTTTGCTCATCTCTGAACATGACAATCAAGCCCCTGGCACTTGTTTTCTCTTTGCTTGGAAGTCTTTTCAGGCAAATAACTGCATGACTGAAAGCCTACCTTACCTAAGACTTTGCCTTAAAATTATATTCTCAGGAGGCAGGTGTCTACCCTAGCAGTTAAGATAGCAGATAAAATGTATATGTCCCATATCAGAATACCTGGATTTTTTACACATCTCTGCCACCAGCTCCCTGTAAATGCTGCGAGGCAGCAGCAGCTCAAACAATTGGGTTCCAGTCTCCCATATAAAAGGCCTAGGCTGAATTCCCAGCTCCTAGCTTTGACCCCAGCTCATCCTTGATCATAGTGGACATTTGGGGAGGAAACCAGCAGATGGGAATGTGTGTGTCTACCTCTCTTTCTGTCTTTTTGTCTCTCTCTCACACTCACTCTCTTTCTTCTTCTTTCTCTTGTAAATAAATTTTTTAAAATAAAATTACAGCCTCAGAGAGGCTTCTTTAACCATGCCAAAGCTCTCTAAACAATCATCTTTCTCCCATTTAAAAAAAAATTGGCATTATGTTATATATTCATGTATTTATTTATTTTATACAAAATATTTTCTCCCTCACCAAACTTTTTTAAAAGTGATTTATTTGAAAGGCAGAGTTGCAGACAGACAGACAGATCTTCCATCTGCTGGTTCATTCCCCATATGGCCATATTTGGCCCAGGCGAGCCAGACCCATGTGATAAGGTTTCCATCCAGGTCTCCCACCATAGGTGACACAGGCCCATGGACTCAGGCCATCTTCCTGCTCCTTGCCAGGCAAATTAGCAGGGAGCTGGATAAGAAAGAGAACTGCCAAGACTCAGCACCCATATGGGAAACCTGTCTTGCAGATAGCAGCTTAACCTGACACTAAACATCAACCCCAAACTGTCACTTTTATAAAGACAGACATTTTGCTGTATTCAGTTATAAAGCCAGAATCAAATATCATACACATGTACAGCATTTGCTCAATGCATGTTTTTAAAATTATTAGTGAATGAAACCTATGGCACTATATATCTAATTTCAACTAATGCTTTAAAGGGGGCACGCAGAAGACAAGAAACATTTTCTAGCATTATTTCAGTCACTTGAGTGTAGTTACACTGTCACAACCTAAGCTGATTTCATTTACTCCAATTAGAAACTTTTCCTAGAGCTACTTACCATGATAGCTGCTAGATTTCCTACCAATATCCCCACCTCCCATCCTTTCTTGGTATCTTTTTCCAAGATTATCTATGCCACAGCTGACCACAAGCCAACTGCATAATGATCATCAACTTTCCTCCCCACTCTCCAGTCCAGTCCAATACAGAAAATTCCACCTCTCAGGGACAGATCCAGGCCCACAGGCCTCACTCAAGAAACCTGTGTTATGCCCACACATCAATGTGTTCTCTCTCCAAAAGGGATAGGGATCACAAAATTGAAACTCACTCTGCATTCCCGACAGCTCCTGGTTAAAATCCGCTGGCCTTCTGCAAGAACTTTTCCTCCATAGATGCATTTGGCTGCAATAAAACAAAACAACAACAAAAAAGTGTCAGACCATCATGCTGCACCACAAAATTACCCCAGAAGTACCATTCAACATTGACAGATTCCACAGAAACAAATTTTCTCATTCCAGGAAAATACATCTTGTCTAAAAAAAGTACTTGGGGACAGGCTGCATAACCCTGGAGTCCTCCAGTCAATCCTTCTTTTGACCTTGTTTTATTTATTTATTTATTTATTTTGTCTCACCAACAACATACAATTACTTTAGCGCTGTAGCTACCAAAGAAACTAGACAATGAGTTGATGTGGCAACAAGTTAAAACAAGGAAGAACAAGCTGTCACCGCATGGAATACTTCAGTAGTATTTTTTCATTCAGACACTCCAATTATAAAATGAATGAATGGGTGAAATGGAACCCATATGCATCACTCATCAAAACTTCAAGGCAATGGAGAAAGATATTGTTTCATTTTCCTTGTGATCATAGGAGGTGGGTGTCCTTAACCTACATAATCCTAAAATACTGCCCAAATGCCTGAAAACTATAAGCAAACCCTTTAAATCTCTACATCAATGCTTATAAAACTGCCTTTGGAAAGGTGACTTCAAAAGAATAATAGGGATGGAAGACAGGGGAAGCAGGCCTTGTTTAAAAATTCAAGACATAAATAGAACTCCAACTTCTCAACTTAGACTAGTCTGAGAATCAATTCATGACTTAATTTGTTCATTCACTTATAAGTCAGCCACCTAGCTATGACCTGAATGTGACTTTATCAAATTCTCCAGCTACTCCACCAAGAATAGAACACAATGGCCTAACTATGCCTGTGTCTCCTGAGATATGTCTAATCTAAGCTCACAGGAGAAGGAAAAGTAAAGACAGTCACTCTAAGAGATTTTTCACATTAGCTTATGATTGCTGTCTCATATATACCTCATCTCGGGACCTTCATATCGATATCTGCTAAAAATGGATTGATAAAATTTTGCGGTTGCATAGTTCTACAATTTTCTGATACTTACAGAATAGAGATGCCTTAGTAATTAGGTGGCCCAATCCTTTCTTTTTGGCCATAGCAAGAGCAAAGCTCAGAGACACTGCTTTACTTAATGCACTCCTACAATACTATGCTGCATTATGCTGCCCAGAGTCTCCTATATGACCAAAGATCAATGCCTAGAGCTCCTGGAACGGAGCAGTGGACAGCCAGCAGCTCTTAGCTGGACACTCATTTTGGATATGCCCTGATCTCTTTGCCCAAAGTTACTTGCAATGCTGCTTCAGAATGTACAAAGAAGTGACCACTTGGCCCCAGCTAGGGTCAACTTTGAAAGGACATTCCAATTCTAAAGATCCCTGCAGTTAAAATTTTCTTTTTGCCCAACACTTCTCCACTTCAGAGATTGTTTCCTCTGTTTCCTCTCAAGACTTGATCATCAGCAACCCTGTACCTCATCCAAATCAACTACACTCTAGCATTGACATCCAAGCATCTGGATCCTTCTAATTGCTAATTCTTAATCAAACTTGTCTTCAGTCAGCACATACATCTAAGCAATGCTCCTTCCTGAAGTTTTTAGGTCAAGCTACTTTTCTCCATGATCCAACCTCAGCCCCCAAACACTATCTTCACTTGAGCTATCATTAACCTTCTTTAGCTCTACCACAACCTGCTAACTTTCCCACAATTTCGACTCTGTCTAGTATTTCTCTACGCAAAATTTAGGTACATTTTTGGCAGATTTATTTAATTTGAAAACTAGAGTTACAGAGAGAAAAGGAACAAGAGAAAAAGAGAAACTGATCTTCCATCTGCTGTCTTGCTCCCCAGATGGCAACATCAGCTAGCAAAGGACCAAACTAAGCCAGGGGCTTCTTTTGGTCTCCCACATGGGTGCAGAGTCACAAGCACTTGGGACAGTCAACATTGCCATCCCCAGATTATCAGCTGAAATCTGGATTGCAAGTGGAGGAGCTAGAGCTCAAACCAGGACTTTTATGAGATGTCAGCATCATGAGCAGGAGTTTAACATACTATGCCACAGTGCTGGGCCCAGGAATATAGATTTTTTTATAATTAGTTTCCATGATACTGTTGTAGATACATGGGTTTCTCTCTCCCCTCACTTTCTTCACTCCTTGCTTTCTGCTCCCACCATTTTTCCTCATATTATCACAGTGGTATATTGCCTAGCAACAGTTGTAAACTTAATTTCCTGCTATCCAAGAATATCATGGCATGGTAGGTATTGGCAGAGGTAGAAAACCTAGTATCATTCTGTCAAGGTATATTTAAGTGTTTCATTTAGAGTCTTCTTATATTTGAGAATAGAGACAGCTCAGCCATGAATATTTAAGTACAAGTATGAGCCTGGTTGAAACCAATGTGGGTATTTAACACTAGGACATTCATGTGTCTTCTTTTGATCAAACTTTATAGCTCACAGAACTTGTGCTTTCACTCACCCTCCCATGCACTGACCTCTGCATATGTTCTAACCTGTCCATGCTTTCATTTACAGGCTTTGTTCTCTTCTATGGGTGCAAACGGCATCATCATCTTCCTACAGGCAACAACTTGCATACTTATCAGTTTTACTTTAGACCTAACGTAACTCATACAGTTTTTCTTGACCTCAAATCCTGATTTGTTGCTCTTTCTTTGTATTTCATGTCTATTATGATATGGGTTTGGCCTAAAGAATACAAATCATTGTATCTTGGCTGCACATTTAATTATGTATGTTTCCTACTCACTGAAACCTTCATGAATGTAGGAACTATGTCTATTCATAATTTTATTTCCAAACTCATGCCTTGTGTCTTCAACATACTGTTGAAAACGGTAAATAATTATAGAATTAATGCCCCTCTATTAGACAGGCAAAACCACTCAAATTTCCTGATCCCTGAGTCACTTATGCTAATGAACACAGCTTTCAGCAATATCAATAGACAACCAAAATTTCATGGCAAAAACAGCAGCAACAAAGAAAAAGTGGAAAAGTAATACAATTTTTATACAAGACATTACCTATCTTGTTAAACAAAAATCTACGCCCGATCTTCTTTGATGCCTCAATTTCTGTATTAATCACTTGCAGCTGACTCAGCGGCTCTAATGACAATCTGGATTCACCAACAGACTTGAATGGGAAAACCAAACTTGTAAAGACATAGAAATCCTCTCTAACAAGTCCCCACACTTCCAAATGCAGCTAGTGCCAACTTTGCAAGGTGGCTTGCTCTAGAGTGACAGTTCTGTTAAAGGTACTGCTGTCAAATCTTCCACCTGTGTGTCAGGCCAGGCTCAGAAGCAAAGAAACAGACTTTTCTTTTTTGCTTGCCCCTTTCCACGTCCATAGTGGTGTTAATGCACTTGCTACTCTTTTTGAAGACATTTGTCTGATCCCTTTTTCACCTGCCTGACAGACTCACCCAGATCTCCTATTTGGAGATAAGAATAACTCATTATCTACATTCACACCATACACAGAGATGTGCCCATCCCTCAAATCTACCAATCCAGTATAAAAATTATGTCCTGGGGCCAGTAAGGTAGTGGTACAGGCTAATGCTCTAGCTGCAGTGCTGGCACCACATATGGATGCTGGTTGGAGTCCCAGTGGCTCCACTTCCAATTCAGTTCTCTTATAACCTGGGAAAGTGGAGGATTGCCCAAGCCCTTGGGCCCCTGCACCAATGCGGGAGACCTGGAAAGACACTCCAGACTCCTTGCTTCTAATAGGCTCAGTTCTAATTGTTGCAGCCATTTGAGAATTGCAGATGGAAAATCTCTGTCTCTCCTCTCTCTGTAAAAATCTGGCTATCAGATAAAAATAAATCATTTTTTAAAATATTAAAAAAACCCTATATGCCCAGTGTACATCATGCCCTCCCGTAGTAGAGTTTTGTGGGCTGGTGAATTATGTCAACACATTGCTAAATGTCTCAGCCATTTGCAGTCAGCACCACGCTTGTGATCACTATGTGAAGTATCTATGAAATTATCTTAGAACAACATTCAGGCCTCTGCCAGAGGGCTCAAGAACTTCACCTACTTTCTCATGTAGAGTTGTACTTCTCAGACAGCACTCCTCTGCTACTACCCTCCATATGCCTCACATCAGTCCTTATTATCCAGGCTCTTGATCTTCAGCCCAAAGGCTTAGTTTTGATGTTTGGAGAAATTCAAGCAAAAGGTAAGTTAGGCTCTGGTGCCTTTGGCTCAGACATTCAGGTCTCCATTTCAACAGTTTTCAGTGTAAGTGCGAATGTAAACGGATTCCCGAAACTCTTCAAAACACACCAACAACTTGCAAACTAGAACATTTTACAGTGTTCAACCATGAAATCAAAACCCAGCACGGACTCGTACTTCTCTAATGTCAGAAAAAAAAAAGTACTATAGATTCAGGGAATGAGTTATTCAGTTAAGCCTTTTTGCAGCCAAAGATGTCTGGCCTTTCAAATTTGACCTTGATTCCTCTGGTGCCAAGATTGGACATGTCTGCCATTTGGGTGCACAATGAATAAACAACTGACAGGTACAGTTTGACATCCCTGTCAGCTACGGATGTGGAGCTGCTCATCTTTACTTAGGCATTTGTATCCTGCACACACACTCCAGCCATCCCTGGGCACTGAGCAACTTAGAATTTCAGAATCAGCAGTCTTTTTACACTTTAAAGGATAGTGTCAGATCAGAGGGGCTGAAGACACAAGGATTCTTCCTCCCTCTGTGAGCTAATTCACAGCCCTGGCTTCAGTTACCATCATTCTGAACAAGACACCGACATCAAGCCAATTGTCCCTCAGGCATTGCCAACTCAAACATGCCAAGTGGAATGTATTGGTCCCCCAAACAACTTCCTGCTTCATATCTGTTAATCACATACTGAGTCTCCCACAGGCTCTAGTTCAAAATTTGGCAGCCTCTCCCTTGAAGGCACTCTGTCCCAAATTCATTTGTCTCATGCAAAACAATGCTTGTTTACTATCTACC